TTTTAACCTGCGTTGTGATCGGCCTGGCGCCTGGGTTCCGGGTTCCTGCTGGACCCCCCCGCGTCCAGGGGCGTCCAGTGCCGTCCCGTCGCACTCGTCGCCGTGGCCGTGCACGAAGTGCCGTCCAGACGCACTGCTCAACATGCCGAACCGTCCCACGCTTGTTTCTCTCGTGGCTGTGCGGCTGCGGGTCGCATAGGTGCTGCCGGAGGCCGCGCTGCACGCAGCACTGCTCGTCGCAGGCGTGGGTGCAGGGCTGCTGGTGCCCACGTGTGCAGGCCCTGGTGGGCTCGCCATGGACCTCGTTGCACTGCTCGTCCCACTCATCAAAGTGGAGGTGTTGGTACTGGCTCCCGTCGTACTGTTAGGTGCTCCGCCCTCTGGCGCTGCTGAGTGCCGAAGCGCTGGTGGCCGACGTGCTGCTGAGAGACGTGATGGTACTGGGTCCTGTCGTACTGCCGCAGGTCGTGGTGCTCTGCCCCGTCGTGGTGCTCCACATTGTACTGGTCGATTTCGTGAGGCTGCTGATGCAGTATCCTGTGGCTGTGCACGTCGTGATGTGGCTCACCTCCGTCTTGCTGCCATGTGACCCGGAGCAGGTCCCAGAAGTTCTGCTCCACGACATAGTGTTCGTTTCACTGCTCGTCCCACTCGGGGCGGTGCTGGTGCTGGGTCCAGTCGAACTGCTCAATGACATGGTGCCCAGCTCCGTCGCATTGCACGGTGCCGAGGTGGTTCCGGACGTGCTGCTCGAAGGCGAGATGCTCGTTGCCCTGTTCGTCTCACTCATAGAGGTGAGGCTGTTGATGATGGGTCCCGTCTTGGTGCGTAACGTCATGATGTTTGGTCTGGCTGCGCTGCTCCGTGTCGAGGTGCTGGTCCCTACCGTGCTGCTGGCAGACGTGGTAGTCGCCGTACTGGTCATCTCACTCGCAGATGTGAGGCTATTGGATCCGTCACGTTTCTTGGTGTCGAGGCGGACGTGGTGCTCCGTTCCCTGATCGCCCCACCCGGCGTGATGCTGCTGATGCTGGATCGCGCAGCACTGCAGGTCGTAGTGCTTCTCGGCTCCGTCGTGCTGCGCTGTGTCCCAGTGCTGGTCGCGCAGGTGCTGCCGGTGGACGTGCTGCTCGTGGCACTGCCCAATGCGGTCGTGGGCGTGTGCGAGGCTTCTGGTGCCCATGTGCGCGAGCCCTGGTGGGCTGGCCGTGAATATCATTGCGCTGCTCGTCACACTCACGAACGTGAGGGTGTTTGTGCTGGCTCCAGCCGTAGTGTTCGACGCAGTGGTGCACCACCTTCTCGCGCCGCTCAGCGTCGAGACGCTGGTGACAGACGTGCTATTGAAGGACGTGATGATGCTGGGTCCTGCCATGCTGCCCAACGTCGTGGTACTCGACTCCGCCGCGTTGCTCGGAGTCGAGGTGCTGGTCGCATACGTGCTGCTGGAAGACGTGGTTATCGACGCACCGCTCGCCTCACTCGTAGTCGTCTTGCTCGAATGCATCATGTAATGCGGTGCCACGATGGTCCCGGGCGTCGTGCTCAAAACCGTGATGCTCGTTGCACTGATCGTTCCACTTGTAGCTGTGAGGTTGCTGGTGCTGGATCTCGTCTTGATGTGCCTCGTCGTGGGGCCTGTTGCCGTCGTGCTGCTCAGAGTGGAGGCGGTGGCGCCTGACATTCTGCTCGAAGTCGTTGTGCTCGTCGCCCTGCGCGTCTCTCTCGTAAATGTGAGGCTGAGTGTGCTTGGTCCCGTCGTGCTGTCCGTCGCTGGGGTGCTCAACTCCGCGGCGTTCCACGGCGACCAGGTGCTGGTCACAGCCGTGCTGCTGAATGACGTGCTGTGAGCTGGACTGTTCGTTTCACTCGCGAGTGTGAGTCTGCTAGGAACTAAGCTCGTCGTGCTGCTCGACGTCGTAGTGTTCGACTGCGTCGTGCTGCGCAGTGTCACGATGGTCACAGATGTGCCGCTTTGGGACGTGGTGTTCACTGCACTTCTCGTCTCACTCTTGGATGTGCGGCTGTTGGTACAGGATCTCGCTCTGGTGCGCAACGTCGTGGTGCTTGGTCCCGTCGTAACTGCACCGTGCCAAGGTGGTGGTCCCTGACATGTTGCTCAGAGGCGTGGTGATTGTTGCACTGCCCGTCTCGTAAAGTGAGGCTATTTTTGCTCGAGCTCGTCGTGCTGGGCAGTGCCAGATAACTGGCACTTTACGTGGTGCACACCGTTTTGGTGCTCGTTGCACTACTCGTCACAGTCGCTGGCGCGAGCCCTTCTGGGCTGGCCGCGAACATGAGGGCGAGGGCGGGGGCGAGGAGGACGAGGGATGAGCGCCGGTACGCGCCCGAGGGGAATTTGTGCCGGTATGCGCCCGAGCGGAGTTTGCTAGGGCGCTCCCCCTCCCCTGGGTGTACGTAGGCCCAGTCGGTGCCGCAGTCGCTGGCGCGACGGCTTGCATCGGAGGTGCGGAGCTAAGGCCCTGGCGCAGGCTTCCGCGTGTGTGCAGGCTGGCCCTCTCCAGCCTCTTGCATTGTTGCACAGATCGCTACAACGGTGCAACCGTTTAGTTAGCTCTTCCGCCAGCTCAGTTACTCTGCCTAGCCGCCGACGCAGAAAGTGTGCAGGCGGGCCTGGTGTCTCCGTCGTATGTAGATCCCGCCGTCGACTGGTCTGACGTTTCTGCTGCCCTGGGCCCTGGCGCTGCGGGGAGCGAGGCATCAAACTTGACGCGAAGAGGACGGCAGCATTGCCATCGGTCATCAGGACCGCCCAGCGTTGCTTCTGATCCCCCGGGCGGCCAATGGCGGTGCCATGCTGGCCGTTTTGCCTGGATGGGCGGAGGCCTTGCTGACGAGACGCGGCCTGTGATGTCGGGCAGCGCTTCGGCCCTGGCGGTAAGTCGGGCCGGTCCCTCTCCAGGAGGAATATACCAAACAAGAAATACAAACAATAGTCTGGTGACAATTTGTTTATTAGTTTTGAATAGATAGATAGACAGATAGATAGATAGATAGACAGATAGATAGATAGATAGAGGGAGAGATATTGAATATGTTTGGGGTATGTGTAATTTGTCGTCCAAAATCCGCCTGTAGGGGCACATGCCCGACCTATCCCTGGCGGACCTTGCGGTTGCCCTGGCGGACCTTGCGATTGCCTGGTGCTCTGTTCGGCAGGTCCGCCTCGACGCAGAGATCCCTCACCTCATCCGACTCGTCAGCTCGCGTGGGTGCTGTCGTGGGAGCTGGTGACGTGCAAGGTGGTGCAGTGGCTTTTGCCGTGCCGTGAGTGTTACTGAGGCCTCGCCTGGATTCGCCCTGGGCTCCACCCTGGCGGGTGTACCCGCAGGGCTTGGCGGTGGCTGCAGCGGATGAGTTCAGGGTCCTCTGGTGGCGGCTACCCCCTTCGAGGCAACCGCGGGGAAGATGATGACGGAGTCCTAGAGATCCTCTGTCTGCGTTTTGCCTTTGGTGGGGTGTTGGTGGATGTTACTGGTGTGTGAGATCCCGTGACCAGCCCTGCGAGACGGCGGCGCAATCGGGACGTTCGAGGGAGGTGCATCACGGTTGATGAGATAGGCGGTGCCGTTGCTTGGGTGGGCGTCGGCCACGGCCGTGGACCCTACTGAGTCACGGTTGGTGCTCGTCTTGTGTTTCAGGGCGTGATGCAGCTTGGTGTAGCTGCTCACGTTCCTCCCGCGCAGTTTCGTCAGCCCGCCCCTTAAGCTTATGCTGGTCGGAGCGGTGTTGATGGCACGTAGATGTTGTCAAGATCGACTGCTCGGTCGAAGCCACTATTGTTCTGGACTTCTGGAGTGCGGCGACGCAGGCTTCTTTTTGGCTGAGGTGGGTATCCCGCCGCTGCGTTAGGAGGGTGGCCCTTGCCTGGTAGCTTGGGCTGCGTTGGTATATGATCTCTTTGGAACCGTTGCGGTACGCGTGAGAACGCTTAAGAATATGTGACACGAGTCCATCCTGTGGTGAGAGCCACGGGCTCCGTCTCGCCACATGCTATCTGTGGAATTTATGTGG